GTATCATGGTAATTTATGTAGCATTATACAAGATTGTACAACAAAATGTTCTGTTCCTGTCTGTCTTGTTGGGTTGCTATGTGGTGTCCCTGTTTCACTATTTCAGTTGTTTTATCATAACTGTCGGTAGTGATATTTGTTCAATGAGAAAACAAATAAATAACAAATAATGAAAGTCACTTTTTATAAAGTACCATATGATATTCTTGCTGGTAAAAATTTAGAGACACAGTTAAGAACAACGTGTTAATGTACAGGTAGGTCTGTTCAAATACATAACTCATTATGTTTACCTGCTGCCCCCTGTTTGCTAATTCAATTACAAGCTATATCATCTACACATGGGAACATTTGTGTAAATTTAAAAAAGTTAGATAATAAAAGGTAAGCTACCTTTAATTTCACGCAGTGTAAATGAGAGCAAAGCTTATTTTTTTCTGTATTTTTTTGGGCTATGTCGTGTAGACCGTCTGAAGAAGCTGCATAAACGAAACTGAAACTTACAAATTCGAAATAACCTGATCACCACTGCGTTAATTTCCATTTGCGCCTAATATAGCATTAGGCTGTCAGTTGGCTGAATCCTATTGTGATTTGGTTTGGTATCAAAACTACCGTAAATAAATCAGGGGTGTAGGAGTGACTTTGAACCTGGAGGGGATGCTGAAATGCTAGGGGGTTCGGGGGCATGCCCCCCCCCCCCCCCCGATTTTTTTTTGTTAAATAAAGCACTTAAATAGTTGATAGATAAATAATCAATCTCTATTATCAATCTGTGGTAATCAATCATCTCTGTCTGTCTCATGTTCACAATGTCAGCACTAGTACTGGTGCCCCTGGCCAGTTGCAGGTAGAGTACTTAAAATCTTTACTCAAGAAAAAGTTCAATTACTCCCATAAAAAGTAAAAGAAAAAAATTACAAACCTACTTATGTAAAAGTATAATATTATTTTATCTGCTGTTTATCAGAAACAGCTGCAATATAGTTATTTCTAGGGAATAGAATTTGCTTTGCTGGTCGATTATCTTTAGCTATTTCTGTTTAATAATTATTTTCCTTTTTAAAATCTCCATGAATGTCTTGATAAGATCAATTTAAAATATCAGCTTGCTGCCCAGCCACTTTTATTATGGACATGTAGCCAACTAAACGCTTTCTTTGCAGTAGCACAGGCAGCCAATACAATCTGATTATTCCTAAAGCATCTAAACAATCTTCACAACGCAGATGATTAATGTGGCAGTAACAGTAACATGGGGAGCAGCTCGTTGTTGAAGCAGGTAAACCTGCATAGGCTACAGAGGAAGCTGTGCGTCATGCCTAAAGCCCAACAGGACGGTTTTATCCACCATATTCTCTCTCTCTCTCTCTCTCTCTCTCTCTCTCTCTCTCTCTCTGACTTAGATGTTACAGTGTGAAATTTACGGTTTCTCTGCAGAGACTGAAGAGCTTTTAATGCGCAGTTAATGGAAACGGTGCCGGCCGGCTTGTTAAAAAGAGACGCCGGCTGCGTTCCAACAGCCCACCAGTGCCATGGTGTGCGCTCACTGGATTTCAGTTGTTTCAGTAGAACAATAAAGCCTTAAACTGAAAAGGTATTTGCCTGATTTTCTAAATGTTTACATCTGCCCAGCTCATTCATATCTGTGATAAGCGCCCATCTCTGTACCACAGAGGAGACCTGGGCTCTTCTGCGTAACTGCGCGCACACAGCCTGGCTCTTTCGGTTAACGAAGCCCATTGCAGATTACAGACTGGTGAAATTATGAAGCTATAAATGGAAAATGTAGTGAAATTAAAAGTACGTTACTGGCCCACAGAAGAGTAAAGAGTAAAAAGTAGGCTACAGTTTTAAAAAAGGCTTTTTAAAATTTTTTCTTTATTTATTTTGCAAAATTACGTTGCTTGTAGCAAGTCACTACCCACCCTGCAGCAGGAGTCCTCACTGCTGTCTTCAGGTACAAAAAGAACAGCACAAAATAAAGGTAATATTGAGGCACTTCGAGCGAACTATTTTTTTTCTCCCTTAACTTTTCAGCACCACATTTGCCTTCTGATGCATGTTTTCTATAGGCATACATGATTTTTGTCCGCGTTTCAACCGCTATGAGCCAACTCCAAAATCTCTGAAAAAAAGTTAAGTGGAGGGGTGGAGATGGCGCATAGAGGGGTGGAGATGCTTGCCTTTGGTGTGGGAGACCTGTGTTCGATTCCCACTGTAATCCATCCAGCAAAACACTTAACCCCTTGTTGCTCCAGAGGCGTGTGACCTCTGACAGTATAGCAAGTGTAAGTCGTTTTGGATTTATAATGGCTCCTACGCGTATGAAATAAATAGATACACAGGCATATGGTGGCCACGTACAGCGCATGAGAACGAGTAGGCCTACATAAATTACAGTAGTATATTAAATTGTAAACATAGGCTACTTACGATGAGCCGCCGCCATTCTGCCTCCCCCGTTCGTAATACTTTCGTTTTAATTTTTCTCCTTTAAAGGCTAAGCCAGCCACTCCCACCTGTTTGCCAAGAGGTGGAAGCGTTCCAGAGCAAGACTGGCTCCCACATAACTGCAGCTTTATACTGCCATGTCTGTCTTGGGGCAATACAAAAAATAACCTAATATCGTGAAGGCAGCAGTGATTACGTAGATTACAGATAGGCTACTAGATGTTTTAATTTGATCTGATTTATTTTTTATTTGAAAAGAAAAGGGACAATGTACACTGATCAACATTCAAAGCAAATGTAAATGTAGGCTACCGATATTATTAGGCATCCTGTTGAGCAGTTGTGCGCAACCTTTCCATTAATGCATACGGATGTTAAGCAAGACTTCAGCCATTATTCAATAAGGTGAACACTTCACATGTCACCATAGAGCCGGACGGCTGTGTCCATACCATAGCCTGCAGCTAGCATGTCCATATACAGTCTATGGTCCATACACATGCGCCACACAGAGCGTAGTGACATCACATCAGGACGTAACAACAAGTTTTACTACCGTATTACATTGAGTAAGGGCGCCATCAGATAGAAACACTGAACAATAATTAAAATCATCCTAACATAATGAACTAATATAGTACAATAAAATAAATTGTACAATAGTTACAAAAATACGCTGTGTTAAAAATGATCGATTAAACAACATGAGCAGTTAAGATCTAGAAGTAGATGATACAGTTAAACCAGTACCTCCAATATCCAAAATCCAGGACCCAGAATTATCATGTCCAAAGCAACAAACATTTCAAAAACTATACAGAGGCATTGTATCTGTATAAAACTCTGGCCTGTAGTAGCAAACAACCCAGGCACCAGTAACCAATAGTAGAATTACAGTAAATAAAAAATAATTTTTTTAAAAAAATTAAAAAAAATAAAATTACGAATCAGTTTTTTGACCAAGTATGTCTGCCAAGAACTTTAGGCCTACAGGATGATAGACATACATACTAAAACAAGGCAAACAAAGTTAAGAAGCGATGAATAAACATAAATATTTTGGTATGTATAGGTTAAGAAAATATATCTATATATAGAGATATATAGATATATGTACTGTGCATATGTATCAATGTGCAAAGTGGAAGTGCAAAAATGTGCAGGACTATTGTAGAGGGAATGTAATTAGTTACTTTATATGCATACAAAAAATTACAAATACAAAATGAAACAATCAATTATAAGAACAACATATGTAAAATATACTGCCAGCTGATCATAATATCTTGGAATATGGGAAAAGGATCAGTAATGAATTATCAGTCTGCACAAGAGAAATGCCATGCAGTGCAATGGATAAGGGATACAAGACCACTGAGAGCAATCATTTGATAGTTCACTAGTATAACCACCAGTTTACAGAACAATCATTCGGACAGCAGACATTTTGATCGGAGTACAACAAACATTATACAGAATTCAAATGATGGGTGGTCTTACAGTAACATTTTCACGAGTACCTCGTATATTAGTATCAAAGAAGATGAAAGTCTTGTTAGACAACCCTATGTTGAACAATGATACATACATCTACCTTGCACCTTGAAATGGCATGTAAGGTTCCAAAAGAGGCCCCCAAAAATAAATACATTGATGTGGCAGTTAGCTTCAGTGAGACAGAAATCCATGTTAAACAGAGAATGAAGGACAGGTGGCAAAGGCAATGGGAGGATAGAAAGGAAAGTGTTATGGTTTTACAGAATTCAAAGGAAAGTGGGAGAAATGAAATGTGCACATCCTCACACATGTACACATTGCAGCAGCACATTATTCAAAATTGGTAAACATAATACAGGAAGATGTGACTACTGTAGTCAAAAAGAGAACAGTAGAGCATGTTATGTTACACCAGTGGTTCTCAAACTGCTGTGCGGGCCATAGTGCCACTGCAGGGGGTGGGCATGGATGTTGAGCAGACCTTAATAATAAAATAAAAAGGCAGATTTAACAAATGTGAAAAATCTAAATGTTATTTTCATAAAAATGTTGTAGCCTAATTTCATTAAATCCCCTCAACTTACTCTTACTCAGTACCTGATGTCCACTTCTTACTTTTCCACAGCCTTTCAGTTTTGCTTCTCAGCAGGAGTGCTGACACACAAAAACAGCTCACGCAACAAAACCAGATCAATGAGCTATAGGCTAAGCTACATCAGTATGACTTTCTGTCATTAAAAATGTTTGCTTGTTGTGTGTTGTGTTGTGTGAGATACAATAGTTTTGGGGAAGGGTTTTTCCCCACTGTACACGGCTAATGTGAAGAAGTGAAATCCTTTTTGTAATTATATATTCGACTAACAGTGAACATCTTTACCTTGTGTTCTGTTTAAACATTGTCATTGTCTCAGTGATTTCTTTGTTTACATGGATTTGTTTACAGGATAGCATGGCTGTGTAAATTATACAGGCCTAGTAAGGGAAAAGATAAAATAGAGATTCACCAAAGTACTGATCTCATGACTTATTACCTCAAAAACAAACAAAACAACCATTGGATGCATTTTATTTGCTAAAAATGATAATTCAAATCCCCCTTACAGGACATTTAATATGATCTTTGGTACATTGAGTATGAAGCAGAATTAACCTGAAGATCAGAGACTTGATGTCCAATCCTGAGCAAAAAATATATGAATTGCAGGTTATATGATTTTTATTGCATAATGTAAACATGTAACTGGTTCATGTTAAACACTTCAAAGGTAATGTGCATACACAGCATAATGCTGTTTAGAAATTGACTTGAGTTCGCATTAGATATCTTCCTCTTCAGAGGTGGGGTGGCGCAGTGAATAAACACAAGGCTTTGATGCGAGAGACCTGGGTTCAAATCCACTTTGAGACCCCAATGTGTGCCTAGTTGCTCTAGAGACGTGCGACCTCTGACATAAATAGCAATTGTAAGTCGCTTTGGATAAAAGCATCAGCTAAATGAATAAATGTAATGTAATGCTGTATGGTTGATTTACCACAAAGCAACAATTGCATTCCCCGATAGGCAGTGTGCTGTAAGTCATTACATTACAAATCATTTTGTAAAAGGCAGGTTTACATTACATATTCGGAGTGCAAGTTTGTCAGGCAGAATTTAGGTGCAGGTCAAATCAGCTAAAGCCAGCCATAAAAAAGCATGGGCAGTATGGGAAAATCTCAATAAACCTGAAGCTCCGAGACTTGACCTTCAATCCTGAGGCTATCTTGGCTCAACTGTTGAGTGTCTATGGCATCAACCATGTTTAAAAAAAACCAAACATATCTTTAGCACTCGTCTCATGTAAACACAGAATTAGAGCCATCAAATCAACTAAAGCTAAGAATAAAAAAAGAATGGTCCAAACAAACACAATTAATGTATCTCGCACATGGGAGAAGTTGTCCTTAGGGATTTCTGTCAGAAAGCCTTACTAGTTGGCTAGGTTTAGGCACCAAAACCACTTGGTTAGGTTTAGGAAAGAAGAAAGGCACAAAGCACTTCTTCCAGAAAGCATTGAAGTCAAACTTCTCCCACGTGCAATAAGCACAGATTAGTTATTGTATAATGTATGCTATTATTGCACATTTGTTAGTAGATTTTCTTCTTGAGGTCTTCAAAATCTCCTTTAATGTTCATACCAGCACACGTCTGATTTTGCGTGTTTGGTTGGTTTTGAGGTTGGTCTGAATCATCGCTGTGGGAAAAAACAAAAAGAAATTACTAAATAAATGCTCAATTTGCATTTTAGGATTACAATTTAAAGAAATTACAGTTTATTATAGCTAACACTTTCTCTTACGGGACCAAAAATACCTCATTCATTAGTTTCATCTAAAGACCTTTATAATTGGGAACTATTCACAGGTAGTAAGACAGACAATGTTGAATTTGTACACTTCTAATTAATTCATTTGAATAAAAGCAATAGTTAACAGACATTTTAGGAAATATGTGTATTTACTTCCTGCTGTGAAAATATTGATATGTCTGTATGCTAAATATGTAGTCAGCAGCTAGTTAGATTAGCAAATCATGAAGATTGGAAAATGAGGGAATGGCAAGCATACAATTCAACATATATAAATATAAACATAAATAAAGTTTATAATAATAAAAATAAATTCTTCTTTGAATCAAAAACTGTTTATAAAGTCAACACAACAAATTCAACTCTAATACTTCTCCTATTTCTATAAAATTAGTAACAACTTAATTATTTCCAAAAAGGTTTCAAGAAATTATTAGGAACCCGTAACATAAAGCGTTATCATTTTCTCTCATCACAGTATGTAAAACACAACTCAACCTCCAAGGTCCAGCTTGTATGAGTTTCCATTCACTTTGAAGATCATACTGTCGTGGTGGTTTTGCTGGTACTTCTTCTCAATGTCATCACTGGTTACAGAGCTTTCAGTTTTAGTGCCCATCTGTTGAAATAAAGCCATTCATATCATCTTGGTTTATCTTAAATACACTTTCTCAGCTAAATGAACCCTCCAGTCTGCAGATAATTTACCCTGTGTTTGAACTCGTGCCATGTTCCACCGTCTCCCTCAAACTGCCACTGTGGTGTGGTGCCCAGAGAAAGACTGTGCAATGCTTGGACTGCATGAGAAGCCCTGTGACGACAACATCATATTATGGATTTAAAGGAACAGTTTAACATTTTGGGAAATATCCTTATTCACTTTCTTGCCAAGAGTGAGATGAGAATATTGACACCACTTTCATGGTTAGCTTAGTTTAGCATAAAGACTGGTAACGGCGAATGGCTAGCCTGGCTCTGTCTAAACAAGGTATCAAAATCTACCTACCAGCACCTCCAAAGCTCACAAATTACGATGTTAAATCTGTTTGTTTAATCTGCATAACAACTACACTGTAAAATCAACAAGCTGTTGTTTTATTTATACAGTTTAAAGTTACAGGGACAGTGCACATTAACAGGCATTTCTGTAGCAAGCTTGGCTAATTTTAGGCTGTAGTCCCTGGGCAGGTGTAATAATCTTATGGATAAGACAAGCGTCTGTCAATTTCATATGATTGTCGTTGACGCTCTCCACTGGGTTGAAGCATGTCTAACTTTCTCAAAAATATTTATTTATTTGTTACTGTCTGGACAAGCATTTGCCCAACAATTAAAATCCAAACTCACCCTCCTCCTGATTGCTTTTGTTGGTACATTGGTCGGCGAGTAACTTTCCTCTTTTTGTGTTTACTCACTTGTTGCATATCTAACAAACAAAAAAGAAAATAAAGGCTATAAAAAAAAAAAAAACTGTTCTACATGCTGAATTTAGTTGGACAGGGGTTGTATGTGTATTCTGTTATGGTTTGTGAGTATACTTTACCTTTGAATCTGATCTCAAAGGTGTCAGCGCCAATATTGAAAGTAAAAGAGCCTGTTGGGTTACTTTGGAACTTGCTCTCTATGTCAGAGATCTTCACAGGGCTGGCTTTTCCCTTCGAATCCTGTCCCCACCAATAGACAATATTCATTAAAAAAGTGAACAAGAAGATAAAAACAGAAATGTTAAACAATTCGATTGTGTCCGACTTTATATTTACAATAAGGAAAGGGAGTTTGTATTATTATTATTATTTTTTTTTTTACACACAAAAAGACAGGTTCCGTTCTTTAATTCCATCTACCTTGCCTCCATACTTGATCCACTTCCGACGCAAGCTGCAGTACCACATCCACACAGATTTTCCATCATCCAAGCGTCTCACACTCAGACTCTTTCCATACACTCTCATCCTGTTTAAATCTATACTCACTGCCCTACAGAGAGAAATTAGAGAGTGAGAGACAAATGATGATGCTTTGGCAATGTTGTTATTACATTCATGCCAATAAAGCTAATTTGAATTGAATAATCATCCACCAGTTTCTGTCGGTCTGTGCTTACAAAATGTTTAAGCACTGTGTTTTTAGCTCTTACCCATAAGGTGTGCTGTAGATTTTAATGCCTTTGGTGTGGGGCAGCGAGTACTGGGCCTCGATAATGTGATCATTATCAATATCAAGCCAGTCTTTTCCACCTTTCAGCTGCCACTGGTAGCACCGGCCATCAGTAAGCTTTGGGCCTGATTAGAAAAAGACAAAATATTGAGTCATCAGATGACATAAAAGGTTATGGTTGGAGTCTTTCAGCCTCTTATGTCATTGTTTTGTTTTTTCCGGCCAGCAAGCTCTCATAAACTGACTGACTGTATGCTACATGCTCAGGACCAAATGTCTTTGGACATAGCGGAACATTTAGCAGATAAAGAGCCAGATATTTTTCTCAGGTGTAGGTGGAGACCAAAAAGAGCTAAAAGGAGAGTTAATATTAGAATTACAATCGTTAGGTTCCCAGAAACAAGAATGCTTATGTTGCTATGAGTTAGATGTGTTAATAGAGTGTCTAAGTCCCTCTCCTTCCGGTGGACGGAAATAATTAGTACGGTAATCAATGGTAAGAGATAACTAATATTTTATCCCGTTTGAATTGTATCCTGAATTACACATATGGTGTTTGTCAATTTAAAATAGAAATTTGAAAGTCAAGAAAGCCACAGTTTGATGTAAAACTGTTGAGGTAAAAGACATAATTACTAAGACCACAAACCCAAAAGTCATGTATGCGACGTAGTAACTGTTTCTCTCAACTGAAGCTAATGTCAAAGAACTTACATGAGTGAATGATATAATGAAAATACCAAGAGTCGTTGGATTAAACACAACTAAGTGTTAACTTAATAACTTAATATAGTTATTGAATACAATAAGTAATGTATTTAACATCTACTGGTTTTATATACTTGACCATCAGGTACCGCAACAACATAATATAAAATTGCAGTTATTTTCATAGTTTCATAAACAAGTATAAAACTTCTAAATATAAATTGTTTATTAAACTTTTTGTCTTATCCATGAATGTCTGACTTAACCCCTCCCCCTCCAACCTAGGAGGGATTTTGATAGCTAATTAGCAGGGATCTAAAAGAAACAAAGAGGTAATATTTCATGATCTTAACTTTAAAAATGGTATAACTTTTTAAAAAAGAAGTCACTTAGATTTTTTATAGCTCAAACTCACAAATGTGTCTCCAAGGGAAAAGCTCAATAAAAACAAAATTGGACAAAAGGAGAATAACCTACAAAAGCTACAGGGGAAGGTGGACGGAAAGACATGCAATTAGCGTCCTCTATACAGGAGTAGAAAGAAGACGCAGTACTAAAATAGGATTACAATATTGGGCAAATAATGTTAAAGCATATATTCTTAAATATACTGAGTATAATGAGTTATGGCCGCGTGGGTTCTCTCCGGGTGCTCCAGCTTCCTCCCACCATCCAAAGACATGCAGGCTAGGTTAATTGGTGTCTCTAAAATTGTCCTTAGGTGTGAATGTGAGTGTGAGTGGTTGTTTGTCGATGGACTGGTGACCTGTCCAGGGTGTACCCCGCCTTTCGCTCAATGTAAGCTGGGATTGGCTCCAGCCCCCTGCAACCCTGTACGCAGGATAAGCGGTTGACGATGGATGGATGGATAATGAGTTAAGGAGTTTCCAGTGTAAACATTTTTGAAATTAGGCTGTGGATCAAAAAGAAAGACCTTCATTCAATCTCTCTTCCTCTTCCTCACCACTTGATGTTGAATGTCCTGAAGTCCTGTTGCTTGAACCAGAGGATGCCCTTCCACCTCTGGGGTGGTTCAGCTTACAGCCGGACCCGTAGCGACAGTTTCCTTTCACGGCATACTTGCAGACGTGAGGGTAAGAGCAACTACCACCATCCCGACAGCCACCACTGTTGTAATACTTGCAGGGCTCTTTCCCCTGAGCATGAAAAAGAAACTATATAAGATTCACTCTCATCAACATTTGAAAATGTGTAAAGACTGGGTTTAAGTGGGTTTACTGATCACTTCTCATGGCTTTACGTGTAATTATAAAATAGATGCTGACTCCAACACCCTCTATGTCCTAAAACAAACCTGACGAGGAACTTTTACACCTGAGTGTCCTTCATCAGCTTGTTCCTCATCTGATTGTCCATCTTCTGATTCTTCGTCATCTGATTGTCCCTCACTGTCAAACTCTTCACTGGTGTCAGACTCATTCTCACAAGAGTTTTCCTCTTCAGGTTCTGGGAGGGGAAATGGCACAAAACAAGAGAGAATAAAAATATGAATAAGAAATGTTTACATGTTTGGTGAACACTTATTTATTATTCCCAGTGATGATGACCAAAGATTGTCTTTATCCTTAAAGGGTAGAGAAAACTTGCCATCTAAACATAGGCTGTATGGAAGATTCCAACATTTGGTGCGGGGCTGTTTGGCTCATTGTTTGGGCGCTAGGTCCCATAACTCCAATTGAGGAAATTCCTTTGCGAAGGGAAGGGCCTTTCCTGTTTCAACATAACAATTCAACAACTAGAGTTCAAACCAAGAACAGTAAAAGAAAGGGTTTTCATAGTTTCTTTGGAAGAACTTGACCCTCCATCCTGACCGCCACAGGCCCAACATCAGTGGCTGATGTGCAAGGGCATCACTTTGTGTTGAAAAGTGGTGGGGACAAAATTTGCTTAGATTAGCGGTGTGACCAGGCCTGCCCACAGAAATGACTGGGGCCCAGAAAAGGTCCAGTATATGGGCCCTCCACAAATCTGCTTTATTCATGTCAACGCAGACTGTGTAAACACATACATGGCCTGCTGCATGCGGTGCATCCAGGTGGCAGGTAACAAATCAAAATATGAATATACAATAGAATATAATGCAGCAATCAGTAGCTTATTTCCTTTTAGCTTAAGTTACTTTTTTTGGACAATGCACATTTCTTTCTTCTAAATTTAAATTGCATTTCATCTTTCAGTATATCTTCTTCTTCTTCTGCATTTCTAACAAATTATGCTTTTAAAAAGTGATAAAGACAAAATCAGCCAATCGAAACAGTGGGGGGGACATGTCCCCCGCGTCCCTAGTGTATATGACACCTACTGTATGCTGATATGTAATGCTCTTCAGACTGAGTAAATCTTATTCCAAAATCTTGTGGAAAACCTCAGAAATGTGGAGGCCTTTATAGATGCAGAATTTTTCTCATATTTTCAGAATGATCAAGACACAAGGATTAAGGATCATGGTAATTATACACAAAGTTGTACAACGAAATGTTCTGTCTGTCTTTTTGTGCTGCTACAATTGCTAAACTTGTTTAACTATTTCAATTGTTAGGCTATATCTTATATATTTACCAACAAATATTTATGCTGCCTCTACTATGTTTAAGGAGGCTACTATAATTATAGACACTCTGAAGAAACTGCATAAACGAAAGTGAAACTTTTACAAGTTACAAATAAACTATGAGGGCCTTATGATATATCTGTGCACTCGGCTACATTGAGACCTTTCCATTATTTCCCCCCTATAGACATAAAGCTGTTGTGATTGGTTTGGTATCAAATCTACCGTAACTCATATAAATAAATACATATACAGACAGACAGTGGCCACATACAGCGCTTTCTATGAGGGCAAAGAAGCCGCATGTGGTTAAAACACAACTAACACCGCAGATAAAAACTCAAACATAAATTAGAGTAAACATGGTACTTACGATAGGCTGTTGCCATTCTGCCTCCACCGATCGCTATACTTTTTTCAGTAGGCCTATCCTTCTGTTTATATTGATAATAAACCAGCCACTCCCACTTGTTTGCCAAGAAGCTGTTCTGTTCTGCTCCAGAAAAAGACTGCCGCCGCCCACATAACTGGAAGTTACACTGCCATGTGTTTCCTGCAGTTATAAATCTGAATAAATTATAAAGTTGGGTAATATCGTGAAGGCAGCAGCGATTACAGATAGGCCTATTTAGTTGCAGTCTGCCTCCTCTCTCAAAAATCTAGGACCAAGAATTATCTTGTCCAAAGGATTTTTGTCGTTATCAAGCAACAAACATTTCAAAAAGAGGCACTGTGTCTGTATAAAACTCGCAAGCACCGGTAACATATAGTTTAGGATTACAGTAAAAAACAAAAAAAAAACACATATACATATACATATATATATATATATATATATATATATATATATACATATATATATATATATATATATATATATATATATATATATATATATATAAAAACTGCTCAAAAAAATAAAGGGAACACTTAAACAACACAGTGTAACTCCAAGTCAGTCACACTCCTGTGAAATCAAACTGTCCAGTTAGGAAGCAACACTGATTGACAATCAATTTCACATGCTGTTGTGCAAATGGAATAGAAAACAGGTGGAAAATATAGGCAATTAGCAAGACACCCCCAATAAAGGAGTGGTTCTGCAGGTGGTGACCACAGACCACTTCTCAGTTCCTATGCTTCCTGGCTGATGTTTTGGTCACTTTTGAATGCTGGCGGTGCTTTCACTCTAGAGGTAGCATGAGACGGAGTCTACAACCCACACAAGTGGCTCAGGTAGTGCAGCTCATCCAGGATGGCACATCAATGCGAGCTGTGGCAAGAAGGTTTGCTGTGTCTGTCAGCGTAGTGTCCAGAGCATGGAGGCGCTACCAGGAGACAGGCCAGTACATCAGGAGACGTGGAGGCCGTAGGAGGACAACAACCCAGCAGCAGGACCGCTACCTCTGCCTTTGTGCAAGGAGGAGCAGGAGGAGCACTGCCAGAGCCTGCAAAATGACCTCCAGCAGGCCACAAATGTGCATGTGTCTGCTCAAACAGTCAGAAACAGACTCCATGAGGGTGGTATGAAGGCCCGACGTCCACATGTGGGGGTTGTGCTTACAGCCCAACACCGTGCAGGACATTTGGCAATTGCCAGAGAACACAAAGATTGGCAAATTCGCCACTGGCGCCCTGTGCTCTTCACAGATGAAAGCAGGTTCACACTGAGCACATGTGACAGAGTCTGGAGACGCCGTGGAGAACGTTCTGCTGCCTGCAACATCCTCCAGCATGACCGTTTTGGCGGTGGGTCAGTAATGGTGTGGGGTGGCATTTCTTTGGGGGGCCGCACAGCCCTCCATGTGCTCGCCAGAGGTAGCCTGACTGCCATTAGGTACTGAGATGAGATCATCAGACCCCTTGTGAGACCATATGCTGGTACAGTTGGCCCTGGTTTCCTCCTAATGCAAGACAATGCTAGACCTCATGTGGCTGGAGTGTGTTAGCAGTTCCTGCAAGAGGAAAGCATTGATGCTATGGACTGGCCCGCCCGTTCCCCAGACCTGAATCCAACTGAGCACATCTGGGACATCATGTCTCACTCCATCCACCAACAATGAGTACAATGATGTGGCAGTTAGCTTCAGTAAGACAGAAATCAATATTAAACAGAGAATGAAGGACAAGTGGCAAAGGCAATGGGAGGATAGAGAGGAAAGTGTCATGGTTTTACAAAATTCAAAGGAAAGTGGGAGAAATGAGATGTGCACATCATCACACATGTACACATTACAGCAGCACACTATTCAAAATAGGTACACAAATTCTGTGGTAATGACTCACAGAACCTGTGATACTGTACCAGAGATCTACCACACAGTAAATGCCCTGTGTGGTACAGTAGCCTACCACAGAATGTATGGTAAAGAACTGCAGAGCTTGAGGTAGCTACAATCCTGTGGTAAACATCCCAAAATACCATAAAATCTCTTAAGAACCACAGGTATTTGCTACAGGAACATGTGGTACTAATACAGCAGAAATTATATGGTATTTTACCACAAGATATTTCATAATGGTACAGTTGCATAAATGTGATTCATGTGGTGAAAAAAACAAACAAAGGGCCCTGATGCAAGCAAGGCTATTTTGCTAACATGAATCTTTTTTTATTTTATTTTTTATTTCAATCTCCTGGGTTGGTAATGATTGATAAATGAAATCCACTTTTGCTGGAGGGGGGTAAACTTTCTTCGGCTTCTAAAGGAGGGAATGTCAAAAAAACGTTTGAGGACCCCTGTGTTACACTGTCAGAAATCAATTTCATTGAATCCTATTTCGGTATCTTAGATGAACTAATATGAGATTTTGATTATTTTATTTTGCTTGGTTTTGACTAATGTAAGTACCAGACACTCCAGTTGGTGGCGGTAATAAACCAATTCGTTGTTTGCCAACCGCCATTAAAACTCAAAAGCAGAAGAAGACGAAGACGACGAAGAAGAAAAAGCAGCAGCAGAAGAAGAAGATAGGATCCCTCTGAAGGAGGAACGATCAAGCAGTCTTTTCCTACGAAGGGCACTTGATAAAAAGGCTAAAACGAAGAACGGAAAATGGAGTTCCAGGATCACGCTTATACGAACACCACTTATGATAAAGTCAGCCCCTTGGAGCCCACATATAAAAGTAAGTATAGGCAACAAGAAATGCCAGGTTTAATCAGTCTAGCTAACGATACATACAGTTTGATTGGAGTTAGCCAGGGCACCTTGCAACCGGGCTCCACGGTGAAAGTCCCAACAAGCACGCTTTAATTTAACAATAAAAAGAGAGTGTAGTTTTTCCACTCGTTTTTCAGCCAGCCCCGCTGGTAATGTAGATTGTGTTTGTTGTGTAATATTTGTCTGAATAAGCATAAACGAAGTACGAGGCAACAAACACAACACAAAACTAAGTTAATAACGTTACACTAACTTTGATGGAGTGAGACACCTGTTGTAAAGTTCAGATAAAAGGGTGAGCTGGCAGGTTATATGACAGGGTGATGGAGAACTTCTAACCTGGATTAAGAAAAGGGACCCCAAGTGTTTCTGTAAACCTTTTTAAATAAAAGTTAAAAAAATGGAATCCCAAAATGTAGTTCATAATAGGCTGAAAATACAGTATGCACAATTCCTAATAACCAGCATTGAATGTAATTTTCTTGAAGTGCTTACATTATATTTGTGTTTGTTGAGAATTGTGGACTGGAAGTTTTTATTAACTAATTTCATACATTTTTCAGCAACCATTTCTTACTTACACCTCTCTCTCTTAGTGAGTTCAAAAGAAGTTGAAGAATTTGTGAAGCTGAGGGTTTCAAATAACTACCTCTTCTCTGGAAGGAGAAATACTTCCATGTGGTCATGGAGGTAAGCCAGCAAATTAAAAAAATTAAAGCTCTGAGAGACATTATTGTGTGAAAATAGAAACAGGTCCAAGTATGGAGATGCATGAATAGAAAGTACCATAATGGGATATTTTCCATTCAGAGTTGGTCTTTGCTTAATATGTTTTAAAATTCAAAGTTCTTGATAGTACCTTTATGTATCTGTCTTCTTTGTTTTCACTTTGTGCTATTTCCCTCTATGTTTGTTTTCATTTGGAACAAATGTCTTATTCAGAAAGCTCTCTTAACCTGACAGGCAAAAGCTTTAGTTGATAGTGACAGATACTGCAAGGAGATTGTCAGATAGTGAATACAATGTTTTTCAGGGCTGCAACAAATGATTATTTTCTTTACTGATTCATCTGTTAAACAATTGTTTAGTCATTTTAAATATCAGATAATATGAACAGACCATCACATATTTTCAAACTCCAAGTTGACATATATTCAAAATGCTTAAACCAGTGACTTTTAACCAGTGACTTTTAACCAGTGACGTTTACTTGACTTCAGAATTAATAAATTATGAAAACAGCTAATGATAAATGCTCTAATGTTTTTGTGTGCTATTAAGATGGTTATATTTCCAGGGCCATCCTGAAACATATGGGCTTGCAACATAAGATGACTCATAGTCAAGCATCCAAAAAATGGGAAAACATGAAGAAGAAATACAAGGTACAGTTTTTTTTTTTTCCGTAAATAAATGTTTTGACACTTTTTCTTCTTCGTTATTCATCGCCCTCTCTCTGCTTCCTCAGGAGCTAAAGAACTCTGCAGATGGGGTGAAAGTGTTCCCTGAAGTGTGGCCTTATTTCAGTCTGATGGACGATGCAATGCAGGGTCGGCTGGAAGGCAACGCCCCCATCCTGAAGGCCTTCGCCAGTGACAAAGATTTCTTACCCGTCTCCAAACCCAAGAAGAGGAAGGTATCCATGGTGATAAACTCCCCTACGGCTTTGTCAGCAGACGGGCCAGAGATCGAGGTTTCTCTGAACGGAGATGAGGATGGGGAAGAGGACACAGTGCACGAGGGACGCCAGGAGATTGATCGCATCATGCAAGAGGTGGAGCACGAGAGGAACACGATGGACAGCGAAAGGCAGGTGATGGAAAGGGAGAAACAGGTGATGGAAAGGGAGCAGCTGGTACTGCAAAGGGAGAGAGCGGTGCTGGATAGGGAGATCGCCGCTCTGGACCGAGACCGAGCCTCGCTGGAGAGAGAGAGGGCGACAATAGAGCGAGAAAAGGCAGTGATGGAGAGGGAGAGGGCCATGGTGGAGAAGGACAGAGATGCAGTGAGCAGGGACCGGCTGGCTTTGGAGCGAGAGAAAGCCAGGCTGGAGAGACTTTCTGCACCCAAAGGAAGGACGGAGGAGGTTACAGAAGACAGAGGCAAGGTGGAAGACTCAGATGTCATGGACAGGAAGGAGCGGTTCCTCAACTTGTTTGAAAAACTTATTGAAAATTTTTGATTAATGGGATTTCTCTTCACAAAACCATCCCTGATGCGACATATTTTTATATCTCTGAGGTGTTTCCACCTTGGCCACATCTGCATATTTTTCAAAATGCACATTGTACTTATTAAACTCCTTACAACCTATAAGTTGTCAATGAAAACGTTGAGCCACTCCTTGTTCGGAGAGGTCTTCAAAACAACTTTATTCACTTGTGGTTATTCCATACAGAGCACACAATAGCAAGCTATTAGCATTATTCTCAACCCCATCCACAATCAAAATCAACAACCCCCCCCCTCCCAAATCAAACAATAGTCTTTAGTTTATTGACTCTAGACATTTGAGTCTTTGGTATAGGCTATTGTGCATGGTTAAAACATCACTTTTTGAAATGTAAAATACCAAATATTGCAGTTCTTGTAAAAAATCTTTTTTTCAGAATATATATTTTTATATTACAGTACAGACTTTACAACAAATGATTGTGTTTAAATGCGTCTTTTATTGCATTAGATAATCAATTTACCTTTCATTAAGCTCCAGCTTCAATAAGTTTATGCTAGTATACATTTCCAAAAGTGTTAGATTTGTCATCAATATTAATATTATTTTTTATTTTTACAAAACAAACATTTAAACAATATTACTGGTTGTTTTTGTTTTGCCAGCCATGAACAGACATTAAACAGAAACATACATGCCATTTGAGGGTGTTTAATAAACTGTTTTCTCCGAATGTTACCTATTGTTTACTCTTAATCAAGTTGCGGAACAGTTTGGCTTTTGAGAATGTTCTCGTGTGTGTGTGTGTGTGTGTGTGTGTGTGTGTGTGTATATTTGTGTGTACATGCATTTTGGTAGGTGAGAGTATGAGATTGATGGTTTCAGTGTGTTATGTTACACCTGGCATAAAAATCTGAACAACAGGAAGAAGGTGCAGCAGAGCAGTGTGTATGTGCTTGATCACCAGAATCTGACTCACAATGTATGTGTTTTATGTGGGTGTTTTATTTCCACACAGAATTTTACTGATCTGTAGTATACATCAGCAGCATTTATGGCAGCTTTAAAATGCACTATTGGAATGAATTGATTGTTTCAGGAGAGATAAATGGTATGCATGTCTTTGTGTGTGGTTTTGTGTGTCTATGTACAAAGATGTGTGCATGTGGTTGTGAGAGTCAGTGTGCAAGAGTGAAGGTATGTGTCAGTGTGGTTAAATGAGATCCCCGATGGGTATACGGGGCAGGCAGATGTAAGCCTGAGGGGTCCTGCTGAGGTTGATGGGGTTGCCGTCCAGACGGATGTCCTCCAATGCGTTCCTGATGTAGTTGAAATCTTTCAGGTTGCAGAACGTATCCTCGTGCATCATTTGAATATTGTTACGCTGCAATAGAGATAGGATACATATAAGACTTGCTTTGATATCATAATGCAGAAATTATAGATTGGTATAGAGAATGTAGGGAGTATCGAGAAATTTTAGCATGAATTCTGATGTTTAAAATATTTCTAAAAAAATATAAATTTAAAATAAATGTTACCTTATTTGTAACAATTTACTTTGTTATAGGCAAAACCTGAATAGATTCAAGAAGATATTTAAGGACTCAAATTCAATAGATTTGGATCCTATTGTCAGAAAAAAAATGACCCTCCTATTGGCTTTGTCGCACCTGTTTGGGTGGGAGAAGTCACACCTTTGTCATTCTTTTTGATTTTGGAAGTATGGTGACCTCACGTAACTTCAGCATAGCTCCATCTACTTCAACATGAGCAGAGATCAGGGCCGAGTACAGCCCTGGCAAAACGTACCAAAACGTTTATTTAAACAGAAGCTGTGGTGCATTGGACATTAGGTTGTGTACGCAACTGCAGCGCACTGCACTGCAGTACCCTACCTTTGTAATATGGCAGTGTTTATATACACGTGACTCCTGATTGGGTAAAACCTCTTACACACCCACCAAATGAGAAATGGTACCTCAAAGCCTGATGCATATGCACACTGTTTTCAGTTCAACTTGGAATCTGTAGCAAAACGGTGCACATCATTTTCAGAATGAACATGCCCCTGATCAGAACATTAAAACACCTGTGTTTTATCTATGTAATCATTTATGGTTTCATATTGCCTTTTCAGGTAAAGATTTTTATATTGAGTTAGAACTATAAAGAGATTTAACCCCAAGAATGCAAAGAACGTGCCTTTTGCATTGAATATTTCAATTTCAATGTTCACCACTGGTGGGGAGTGATGAGACATGTGGCAAAGTAGATATACCTGTAGGTGTAGAGATCGCAGGCTGGCAGGTAGAGGCACAGGGATGTAGTCAATGTGGTTGTCTGTTAGGTACAGGTACAGCAGGCTAGTCATATCCTGGATACAATGAGAAAAGATAGAAATCATTATTGGCTCAGGCAGTTAGATGTGATTAGATTTTAACAGAAACCTTAAGGAATTCCCAACTTATTTAAAGAAAAAAAGAAAGAAAGGTAGAAATTTTGTCAGGGACAGAATACTAATATCACAATTACTCTGAAATTATATAAATGTAAAACAAAAAAATCCAGTATTAAAAGCACTAAAGCAGTGCTATATTGTGTTTGAGGGAGCCTGTGTGATGTAGATACTGAGGTGTACACATACTTTGAACGCCTCTTTGTGAATACCCTTGGTGGCAATGTTGTTATGGCTGGCATCAATCAGGCTCATGGTCTCGGGAAGAGCAGGCAGCTGTGAGAGATGATTTTCTCGAATCACCAGCTCCTCCAGCTCAGGCAGACCCAAGAATGCTTTGTCATCGATGGACGTTATCTCGTTGGCGGTTAAGTCGATCCTCTTCAGCTTGTCTGGAAGGAAGGAAGCGGAAAAAAACACACTTTGAAACACTGACAGCGCACTCCCAACATCAGTCAAGTTGTGGGTATGATAAAATGCCTGACATTCACATTTATGTTTGGTTGTGAACATCACTGGTCTAATCAATCATTTTTATACAAACAGGAAACATACTCATGAAGGCAAAGTCGGACTTGTTGATCTTGGTGATTCTGTTGTAGCGGGCATAGAAGTGAGTGGTGTCTTTGGGAAGAGGTGGTACACTATCCAGCTTCAAGTCATCACAGTAGACCGAGCCACCGAGACACGTGCACAGCAAGCAAGTGGGCATACCTGGAGCACATAGATAAGAAGAAGAGGAGAGGGAATGTAATATGAAAAAGTTAGATACAGTTGGTAGTTCATGGAATTGGCCTCTAAAACTCAGCAAAACAACAGGACCCCAATCCACAGGGCAAAATCAATCAAGTCAGGATTCAGGATATCAGGGTTTTGCAGACTTTGCAGCTCAAAAGGGAACTGAGATTTGTATCATGCTTCTCTCAATTCATTGCCTGTGTTATTCAATACTGACCTTCCCAGTCAACCACAGGCTCATCAGGCTCGTCAGGTTCTTCTGGCAACTCAGAGCTAACTGACCCTTCTACACTAGTTCCAGTACCCTCCTGAGGGGTTGTAGTCAGAAGCAGCTCCTCCTCTTGTTAGAGACAAGATTAGGTGTTAAAGAAACAGGTTAGATCGGCATGGACATGGAACAGGAAGTCTGGCAATCAGTAGCCCACTGTTTGCCGCAGTGATAAGTTACATACAGTATATTAGCAGTGTTAAGTGGTTACAAAAAATATGCTCCTTGTGCATGATACAAACAACCCAGAAACTCCACAGGGCAGTTAAAGCTGCTGGTCTCCAACCAATTAAACAGTGATGTTGAAATGATGAGAAAAAAACAACGTGGCCAAAGTTGATTGAAAGTAGACAAACTAACAAAAAAGGGCAATTTCATAAAAAAAGTGTCTCCCTGGCTCAGAATTGGCACTGGCAACTTGTTCATCATAATTCAAAGTGTTAACTTTTTGATATACCTTTGGGCCTTTAAGGTATGGCTTTAGTTTTTACCCTGCCTTTAACATATCTTACACAAGTCTATATACTGACCTTTATCAATGTCAGGGACCAGAGTTACCTCAGTGACCTCTGCTTCTGCAGAGCCAGAGACACCAGAAGTCCCAGAGGCTCCAGAAGCTCCAGAGGCTAAGTCTCCAGAGGCTACAATATCCCCAGAGGCCCCTGAGGTTCCTGAAGTTCCTGAGAACTCCCCAGAAGCACCTGATGCCTCACTGGGGGTAATCTCGTGAATAGGGGGCAGCTCCTCCTCTTGTTAGAGCCAAGGGTTGGGGTTAGGAGACATGAGATTAGGAAGGTGAGGGGTGAGATAGACAATCAATCAACCCGTTAACCAGTCAATCACACTCACATTTTAGATGAGACAGAAGGTTAGGAGAAGCATGATTATGAGTAACACAAATACAGTGGCACACAGTAGAACAAATAAGATTACAAGCAAAATCAACATTTAACACAGTTAAATGGAATTTAAGACATCAAATCAACATAAATCACATAGAGTAAGACAGGTTACTGCTACACAGACCAAGAAACAGAGTAGCCACAAGCCTTACTAACAGACATCTACTCTTTAAAAGTACTAACCTCCAGACAACAAAGTTATCCATGAGTCCCCGGACTCACCAGAGTCCCCAGAAACCCCAGAGATTCCGGAGTCCCCTGAGATTGAGAGATCTCCGGAGATCCCAGAACCAGACTGGTCCCCAGACCCTCCAGAGCCCAGGGGTAGTTCAATGGAAATACCTCCAGAGCCAAGGTCCCCGGAGGCTCCAGAAGCTGCGGATCCAATGCTATCCCCGGATCCTGAGAGATCCCCAGGTATCAAGAAATCCCCAGATATCAAGAGATCCCCAGATACCAAGAATTCCCCAGATCCCCCAGAGCTGAGGAGCTCCTCGGAGGCTCTGGATATCAGGACAATGTCACCAGAACCCCCAGAGGCGCCGGAGACCACTAGGTCTCCTGAGCCTCCAGACCCAGAAGCCCCAGAAGTTCCTGAGGCCCCAGACCCTACGGAGCCCCCAAAATCCCCGGAGACATGAAGGATGTCAATGGGTGCCAGATGCAGCTCCACCTCTTGTTAGAGACAAGATTAGGTATTAATAAACAGACAGATGAACAGAAATGGATCAATAATCAGGTTTGAAACTCACAATGATTATTAGGTTGTGTAGTCGGTGACACAGTGATTGAAAAAGACACATTTAACCATTAACAGCTAGTTAAATGGATTACATGCACATGGAAAAGATGATTGTTGAAGATGCAGACTAGTTTAGAGAATAAATTAGTGTTTCTTTGTTGTGGATGTTTTTGTCATTATCGGTGATACCATAGGCCCTAAGCAAGGCTGTCTCTTAAACCAAGTTAATTTTGGATATCAAAGGTATGTGCTTTTTCAGACCTTTCTGTGTGTCTGGGCCCATGAGAACCCCAGATCCCCCTGAACCCTGAGGGATGAGCTGGGGTTTTAGGGGCACCTCTTCTTCTTCCTCCTCCTCTGCTTCTTGTTCTTCCAATGAGGCCTCTGGTACAGGGTGGTCATAGTCAGGTGGAGCCAGTGTTCCAATCTCTATCTGAGGGAAAGACAGCAGCAGTGAGTCAAAAATTAATGAGAATTTGACTTGAGATCGAGCATCAGAAAAGTAATACGTACACTGACATAATGTTTTTCTTAGTGTGTACATCAAATAAAGCTCTAAAACTAGTCAAAGTAAGCATTTGATTGCGTTGGTTCCATTTTGCTCATCCTGATTGCAAATTTCCCA